GGGGTCTCCCCTGCCTGCCCCTCAGCCCATCCTCCCTGGCCCTCAGCCCCCCCCCCCCCCACTGGCCTGTCATCTTCCAAGGGGAAAACTCTTGTCTTTAATTGGGGCTCAGGAAATACCCAGCCCCTCTTCCGTAAGGGGGCGCTGCCTGTGGGGCTTTGCTGGCTGGAGATTTGCCTGGGGCCAGCGTGGAGAGACGGCCCAGGCAGTGGGAGGGGGATTCTGAGCGGTGCTTGGGCCGTGGCTGAGGAGGGGTGGGGCGGTTGTGCTGGTTTCCCTGGACAGCTGGCTGGGGGGCTGAGCAGCACCGTGAGCACCCCCAGCCTGTGAGCTGGCCCCTCGGGGGCAGAGGGGAGCGGTCGGTGCTCTTGCTCAGGTTGCAATGGGGGGCTGAAGCTGTGTTTACTCTCGCTGCTGCTGACTGTGTGGGACAGGCAGGGACAGTGCTGCTCAGACCTGGGGAGGGGAAGCCTTTGGCAGAGAACCAGCCCCTGGGTGGGGATGGGAACAGGCCTGTCTTGCTGGCACCTTCTCCAGCACCCAGGCTCTTTCAGTCAGGCGGCAGGGCCAGGCCGCCCTTCCCAGGAGACGCTTTCGGGGTCCCAGCACCGCAGGGCTGGGGGAGAATGGCCGGTTGCACCGGCGGAGCTGCAGGCTGGGCTGCGGGCTGGGCTATGGGCATGCACCGCTGAGAGCAGGACGTGTCCAGCACCTCACAGCCTGGTGGGAAAAGCCTCCTTCTGCACCTGGGGCAACCCTCCCGGGCCCTGCGCGGGTGGATCCAGCCCCTCCCCTCCCCCCCCCGACATACCCCTTCCAGAGGGCAGGGATGGGGATTTCTGATTTGCTGTCACACTCTTGCACCTGCCCCTGTATTTACCCCTTTCCCCCTCTCCCCCACCCCCCCGACTCTCAGCTGCTGTGCAAGGAAACCAAGTCCACCCGCAGGCCAGGTTGCCGGGCACCGGAGCCACGCTTCACCCCAGCCGCTGTCCGCCCATGGGCACCTGTGCCCTGCAGTCTGCAGAGCAGAGCTTGTCTCCGGCCAGGTGGCTCTGCAGCCCTGCACCGTCTCTTGGGGCCCTCTCCTGTCAGGGGGGACCAGGGGGAGTGCCACATGGGCCATGCCCTTTGGGGGAGCTGCTGAGTGAGTCCTCCCCACCCCCAGCACTCCTGAAAGCCTCTCCCCACCTGGCAGCCCCACTCGCAGGCCAGCCCCACTCGCAGGCCAGCCCCCTTCGGTGTCTGCTACAAGGCAGGCAGAGCGCGCTGCAATGGGAACAGGGCGGGGGAGTCAGTGTTGGGCTCTGCCTTGGCCTGCTGCTTTCTGAGCTGCTGCGCCGTTACCTGCGTCCCGTGACCAAACTTTTCTCTGGCCCCATTGGAACGAGCCCCTTCCTGGGTGTTTTTAATTCAAGCAGCTGGGACTCTCCTCTGGGACCCCAGGAGCTAGCACGAGATGTGCGATGACACCACGGGAGTTGGCAGCGTGGAGCTCGGTCGGACCCTGGCCCTTTCTCCACTGCCAAGGGGAGACCATCCGCCACAGGAATCGCGGCGTTCTCTGCGCCACGTCGGGCCCAGAAAAACACTGGCTCCCTTGTGGCTGAAATACTGCGGCTACCAGCGCGCTCTGCCATAGGTGAGAGCCCCGGGCGCCCAGTGACCAAGGTGCCAGCTGGCAGGCAGAGGGGACAATCCTAGCCTTTCCCTTCCTGGCCAGGGGGAAGCTGGGAGGAACTGGAAAAGAATGTTCTCAAGAAAACCGTCTCAATCTCCCCTGTTCAGCCAAGGTTTGTGACCTGCCCCTATAGCCGTGGGAGAATGCCACAGGGGTGGGAAGCACATCCCTGGCCCCTGGAGCAACTCCTAAAGAGCCACGTTCATCTGTGAGTGGCTGAACCTGGGTTCTAAAAACCAGCCCAGCAGCCTGGAGCACCTCGCGTCCTCGGTACGGGTTAGCTGGGATCTGAGATGGCTGCTCGGTTCCCACCTGTGGGCTATGAACGCACCTGGGGAAGGAGAAGGGTGAGCACTGGCTGTGCTAAGCTGCTGCACCGCAGTTGCTCCAAGACTGAGCCCACGTGTGTCTGGGGCAGTGGCTAGGGCATCTGCACACTAATGTGACACTGCACAAGAGACGTGGCAACAGCTGGAAGAAAGGGGCAGAAACCCCTCACCGTATGCTTGGCTGCTGGCTCTTTGAGATGCTGTGACTACGGTTTTGGTGCCCTCCAAAGGTCTGTCTACACTGCAATTCGACCCCCGTGACTGGCCTGTGCCGGCTGACTTAGGCTCCCGGGCTTCAGGCTAAGGGGCAGTTTAATTGTGGTGCAGACGTTTTGAGCTCTGGGATCCTCCCACCTTGCAGCTCCAGACCAAGCCCGGATGTCTACACCGCTATTAAACAGCCCCTTCGCCCAAGCCCCACGAGCCCCAGGGAGCTGGCACAGGCCAGCCGTGGGTTTTTAATTGCAGTGTGGACAGACCCCGTGACGCCCTGCTCAGGGTACTGCGGCTGATTCCTGGGGCTGGAGCTGTTTTTAGTTGCTCAGGAGACTGAAACTCGGTCATGGTTTCTAGTGAAGGCGCAGACCCCGTCTTGCTGGTGGCAGCCCGAGCAGACCTACAGACCTGGCTTGGCTGGGCGGCCATTGCAGCCCGGTGGTGCCCATGCTGCATTTCACAGGTTAGCTGCGTTTCAAACAGCAAGATGTCAAACTAAACCAAAATGCAGCGTTTCCTTTGGGGAGAGGAGCCTGCTTTCCGCCCCATGACCCCGCAGCGTAGCACGAGCTCAGACCCAGCTGGGGGAGCCAGTGGGCTGCGTCCCAGATGCGGCTCATTCCCTCCAGGGCAGCAGGTGCAGCCTGGCTCACTGGCTGCCTCGTTTGCATTTGGAGGAACTTCTTTTCTAACAGAAGTACCAGAGATGACACCACGAGCTTTCTTGACAAGTGCCGGGGGGCTGGGGAACCCCCACATCCTCCAGCCTCATCCCAGCCTTAGAGCTGTTCCCTGCCGTAGCCCTGAGACTAGCTGGCCATAGAGGCTGAGCGGGGTAGGGTGGAGCAGTGATGTGCAGCTGCCAGAAACGACGAACATTCCCCCAGTTTCACTTCACTGCCTAGGCGAAGGAGGAACAAACCTCCCGCAAGCAGAGGAAGGAAGCAACGCCAACACAGGAGCCAGAGGGACCCACCACTGGTACTGTACCAGCTGTTTCCCTGTATGCTGTGCTCGCCACAACACCCAGCGCTTAGTCACAGGTGCTTGGGACTTTGACACGTAGAGGGCTGCTAGCAGCACGTCCTTTAGCGACTCGCTTGGTGGCTGCCCGGCTCCACGACGGAGCTGAGCCTGCTAACAAAGCCCGGGGGAGCAGCTAGGGTCAGTGCTCAGCACACACTGCAGCCTCTTTGCCGTGCTAGGTCTGAAGAGGGTTTTCCACGCTGACCCCAGCCCGCCCTTTCTCTGAGGGCGGCCACCCCATGCATTCGTTTAGTAGACTATCCAAAGGTGGGCCCTACTCCTCTGGGCATTTACACGTACGGCTGGAACATTGGGCATGTGAGCGAGCCTGTTCCTAAAGCCCTAGACCCTATCCTGGAGTCTGTGCTGTCGTGGACTCTACATGGGCTGTTGGGGGCAGAGGAGAAGATGGTTGGACTAAAGGGATGGGCTGGTGCTGGCATTAAGACACTGGCTGGGCCCGTGCACCAGCCGTCCCTTTCCAGCTGTCCAACGAGGATAACCGCCCTCCCGTTCGCCAGCCCTGTGTAGACAAGGCCTGTTGCACCGAGAGCGGCCCGCGGGCTTAGCTCCTGGGGGGAGTGGACAGTGAGCTCCTGACCGCTGTGCAACTTTCCACGTGGACACTTGGGTCGGCTTGACTTGCATCTCACTGCAACCACTGTGGGCGACACCGCGTTTGTCCCAGTAGCACTGTAATAAGGAGGGGTGAGTATTTCACCCCTACAACCCCTCCCACGGGTGCCATTCAAAGTTCCTTACAGGGGTACAGCGCATTCCCCTTCCCGTACCGGGTTAAGATGTAGGACTTTGGAGTGACTCTGGTATAAACGGGTATTGCCTTAACCACACTGGTGACCCTGGAATTGTGGCCAGAGAGATCATCTAAACGCCCCCCCCCCTCAGAGCCTGCCCTAATCTCACCCTCCCTCCCCCCCCCAGCCTGCCCTACAAACTGCAGAGTTGAGGGTTTTGGGGTCAAACCTGGACCCTGAGCCCCCTGTGGGGTGCCAGCCCCCCCACTCCAACCTGAACCCCCACTCTGCCACCTACCCTCCCTCCCTCTCACAGGCCTCACCCCA